TTCCTCCCCCACTCCCATGGAAACAGCAAACACGGTACACATCCACAGACCTGTGGGGACATCCACACGTCCACCTGGCCTCCCAGACCCCTGACCTCAGGGGTTCTCTCCCAACCCCAGCACCAGGCACTGGAGCCCTGATGCAGCTTTGGGTTTTGCAATTGGACATTCTGCCAGGAGTTGGGTAAATAGGGCCAGTTTTTGAGGCAGGAGCCAAGAACAGACATGGCTGGTGGGGGAATTAGGAGGGCAGGACAACTATACATGAACATTGGAGTTCATTCAAGTCTGAGGTCCTTTTTCCTTATGGCTTCCAGCTGGCCAGCCCTTCTCCCAAACACTCCTTCAACCTCAGCCTGGCTTCAGTCCCACCCACTGTAGTCTAGAAAGAAGAGAGACAGAAAAAGAGAGGGAGAAAGAACTAGAGAGACAGAGGCATAGAGGAGAAGCCTTTTCCTTGTCCCAGAGCAAGCGACGACCACTGACTACAATGAGGCAAACCAAGGTCAGCCAGGAGGGTGAAGAAATTTTCCCAAGGTGTGACTTCCACCCAGGGCATCATTCCAGCTGGCTGTGAGCCCTGGGGCCCCACAAAAGATTAGGCAGGAAAATGGAAAGGGATTAAAGTTCACTGGAAGAACACAGTGGGATGTGGGGTAAGAGGTGGGTAGAAAGAGACAAGTTAAGAGCAGTCCCTGCTCTGCAAACACACCCAGAGCTGCAGGGTACATATCAGGAGCAGCCACAGCCAGTTGGCTCCAGAACACACCTCAGCTGCTGCAGCTGAGCAGGTAAAGGGCCTGGGGTGGGGGACACAGAAGAGGATGGGGTGGCTCACAAGACCAGGTTGGGTCGCTGGCAATCTCTGTCTCTAAGAATGGCTGGGGATCTCTTTTGCTATCTCCTTTGAGGGCTCTCATGCTTTCTGGATTCTCTGGAACCCTGTCCTGGGTACTGGGTCTCTGCACTGGCACTTCAGCCAGCAGTGGGTGGCATCTCTCTCTGGAATGGGACCCCTTGGTCCAGATTCTCTTCTGTCAGTGTTCTGTTTCTGCTCTTCTGCTCTGTCTCTGTCTCTCTTGGTCTCCAAATTTGCATGTCTCTGTCTAACATTTTCTGCCTCTCTCGTTCTCTTTCTCTCTCTCTGTCTACATGTCTCTCTGTCTCTGTGAATCTGTTTCTGTCTCTGTCACTCTCTCTCTTCCCCCACAGTCTCCGTGTTTACCTCTCTCACACCCTTTTTGTCTCCATCTTTCAGTGTCCATCTCTGTCTCTCAGTGAGTGTATCTCTCTCCAGCTCGATCCCAGTCTCTGTTCTGTCATTCTCTAGCTCTGTGTCTCTAGTTCTGTCTCTCTTTTCCTCCAGTCTGCCAGCTTCTCTGCCTGTGATTTTCTGTCAGGCTCTCTCTATCTTTGTGTCTTGAATTGTCTGTCTCTGCCTCTGAGTGTCTCTGTCATTCTTTGTCACTGTCTCTGTGTGAGTCAGTCTCTTGACAATAGATGATTGATACAAACACACACACAGAGAGAGAGAGAGAGAGAGAGAGATCTCACTGTTTTTGTTGGGTTTTTTGTTTTGTTTTTGGAGAGAGAGAGAGAGAGAGAGAGAGAGAGAGAGATCTCACTGTTTTTGTTGGGTTTTTTGTTTTGTTTTTGTTTTGTTTTTGGCAGCTGGCCAGTCCGGGGATCTGAACCCTGGACCTCGGCGTTACAACGCCGCACTCTAACCAACTGAGCTAACCAGCCAGCTCACTCTGTTTTTCTATAGCCCTGATTATCTCTGTGTAACTGTCTCTTTCTCAGTCTCTATATCTCTTGTCTCTCTCCGAATGCCTCTCTGTTCTCTGTCTCATGTCTGTCTGTATTCCGATTATCTCTGCCTCTCTGTTTTCTGTCCCCGTTCCTTTCTCCCCACCCTCCATCTCTCCCTCTTCCTTTCTCCCTTCCCCATCTCCTGGCTGCTTCATGTCTCTGCTTCTCTCCTACCCCCTTTCTTCTCTCCATTTGCCCCCATTTCCAGGGCCCAGGGAAGGTATGTTCCAGAAGGAGATGAGAAGCAGAGGGATCTCATGCTCTCCCCACCTCCGCCTCTCCCATTTTGCCCCCCAGACACCTGCAGCTGCCTTCACCATGGATGGTATAAGCACAGCCATCTTACTCCTGCTCCTGGCCCTCGTCTGTCTGTTCCTGACCTGCAGCTCAAGCGGCAACAGCCAGCTTCCTCCTGGACCCAGACCCCTTCCCCTCTTGGGAAACTTGCTGCAGCTTTGCTCCCAAGACATGCTGACCTCCCTCACCAAGGTGCAAGGACCTCGGCTTGGGCGATGGGGGAGGGATCAGGAGGAGAGGTCCTATGGCCCCAGGCCCCCCTGTGACCTCTGCCTTCCTACCCTCAGCTGAGCAAGGAATATGGGCTCTGTGTTCACAGTGCACCTGGGGACCAGGTGGGTGGTGGTCCTCAGTGGGTACCAAGCTGTGAAGGAGGCCCTTGTGGACCAGCGGGAGGAATTTAGTGGCTGCAGCGACTACCCTGGCTTTTTCAACTTTACTAAGGGCAACAATAAGCCTGCTTCTTGTCTCCTCCAACCCAACCTTTTCCGCATTGAGGGAGAGGATGAGTGTGGGAGACTGTCCTTCCAATTTTGGTTACACTAAGGGCCACTGATTTCACTGATGAAACCAGATGAGATGGAGCCAGGCAGTCCTAATGTAGGGTAAAGTCTGTCCCACCTTCCCCACCTCCAAACCCCACCACCATCTTGAATTGCACTTCCATACCAATCTCCATCTCCATCCAACTCCAACCGCATAATCATCCCAATCCCTATCTCTACTGTAAACACATCATCAAATTTCCAACTCAGTCAAGTGGCCAAGTTACCTGGCCCCAGTCCCCATTGTCCACCTCAACCCAATCCCAGTCCCCATCAACCCTACCCCATGTTTCTTTCCTATTTCAACCTCAACTCCATCCCTATCCACAACACTGACTACATCTCACTCCAACCTCCATTCTCATTATGAACCCCCTCCCAGTCCTCATTTTAAATTCTATTATCAACCCCATCCTAATCCCTTTAGTCAAATTAAGCTCTGCTGTCATTTTTCTCCCCAGCCCCTGCCCCGTCTTCTATCCCTATCACCTATTGAAGCTGCCAGTCCCCAGTCCCCATTTTCAATCTTAATCTCATTACCATCACCAAAACCAACCCCATCACATATCGACACAACCCCAAGCTCAAGCTCAACCCCAACCTACCAATCCTCATTCTACCCAACTCCATCCCAATCGCCAGCCTCAAACCCAATTTATCATCAGTCTCATAGTCCCCCTTCATGCCAGTTGTCATCCGCAACCCAAACCCATCCCAACTCCATCTTCAGTCATCCAGCAACTCACATTATTAACTCCAAACCTCTTCTATGTCAATATTCTGTGATCCTTAGGCTTGGAAATCACCTAGTCTTATAGTTTTCAAATTTTGTTTTAAACACAAATCTTATTCAAAGGAAGCTATGTGACTAGGCCCAATAAATGATGAAAGAGAGAGAGAACAAAAGAAAGAAAGAAGGAAGGAAGGAAGGAAGGAAGGAAGGAAGGAAGGAAGGAAGGAAAGAAAGAAAGAAAGAAAGAAAGAAAGAAAGAAAGAAAGAAAGAAAGAAAGAAAGAAAGAAAGAAAGAAAGAAAGAGAAAAAGAGAGAGAGAAAGAGAGAAAAAGAAAAGCTTCTCTGATCAACAAGGGGGTCCTGGAGACCTGCACCCTGGACCATTCTTCTCTTCCTAAAGAATGCGTAGGGTGACCCCGGCCCCTTCACTAGATGGTTCCCAGCTTCCCTGGGATTTGGAATCAGAGAGCTTTGGTAAAATATAATTTATTGTGTATTGAGTACACTTTCCACCCTTATGTCCCTTTCCCTGGGCTTGATCTTATGATCTCACCTGTCCAGGTACACCAGATGCAAGGAGGTAGAGACAGAGCACTGGAGAAGTCACCTTGCTGCTTTTGCACAGAAAACATCTTGATGCATACATACATCATTTGTTGCTAAAAATAGCCACCATCCGATTATTCAATACACAGCACAGTGGAGTTCTGCCACTTACTAGCTGTGTGCCCTTGGGCCAGGGGCCTCCCTTCTCTGACCCTCAGTCTGCTACCATGAGGTTGTTACAAGGAGTCGATGAGATAATGCATATAATGCAAGGCAATACACTATAGGTTTTTTTCCTTCCTTAGTATCTAGTTCTCTGCTAGGTCCAGAGGAATCAGAGATAAACACATCTGACACTTCTCCTATTGTACCTTTTAGTCCAGTGGGAGACACAGCTCATAGCCAGACTGTGACAACCCAGAGTGATCAGGATAGAATGGGGGAAGCCTGGGGAGCTGTAGGAACCCAAAGGAAGCACCTGATCCAGCCAGGGAGGAAGGAACCAGGGAAGGCTTCCTGGAGGAGGGGACCCATAAGCTGAGACACAAAAGAAGAAGATGGCTAGTCAGGAGAAGGCAAGAAGTGAAAAAAGTGTCCTGGGAAGAAGGACCAGCCTATGCAAAGACCAGGGAGAGAAGAGAACAGGGTCTGTCTTGTTCCTGGATGAATTCCCAGTGTCCCATTTTTATTTTTGTTGCTTACCTCTTATTCATGCATTCAATAATCAGTAAACAATCACCAGCACATCCCTGGTGACAAGCCCTGCACTAAACAATGCTAAGAACACAATGGTGACAAATATAGGCCCCCACCCTGCCTTCACAATTCAGTGAAGAAGATAGCCTCATCACCAGACAGTGACAGCCCAGAGGGAGCAGGTTTTTTGGGTTTGTTTTTTTTGGTGGCTGGCCAGTATGAGGATCTGACCTTGACCTTGGTGTTATGTGATCAGGTTTTTAATGGGGAAAACAGAGGCAGAGTGATCAGGACTGTGGTGAGGGAAGCTTAGGTCCTACAGAAGCTCAAAGGAGGCACTTGACCCAGCCTAGAGGATCAGGGGGGCTTACCAGAAGGGGAAGGGGAGATTTCACCTCAGTCTCTCTCTCAGAAAGCATCAGGAAAGGGGAGTCCAATGGCAGTGGCCTCAGGGATGAGTTACCAGTTAAGCTTTCCCCTCCTCTTCTCCCCAGGCATTGCCTTCTCCAATGGGGAATGATGGAAGGTCCTTCAGAAAGCATCAGGAAAGGGGAGTCCAATGGCAGTGGCCTCAGGGATGAGTTACCAGTTGAGCTTTCCCCTCCTCTTCTCCCCAGGCATTGCCTTCTCCAATGGGGAATGATGGAAGGTCCTGAGGAGCTTCTCTGTCCAGATTCTACAGAATTTTGGGATAGGGAAGAGGAGCTGCGAGGAGTGGATCCTGGAGGAAGGGCGCTTTCTGCTGGCGGAGCTGCAGAAAATTGAAGGTTGAGTCCTTGAACGCAATCCATACCCCTAATTCACGTTCATCCTCCTTAGTGGTCAGGGCTGTCCAGTACCATAACATGGGTGTGAACTCAAAACTCCCAGAGGCCTTTCACTTAGCCCTCAATAAGAATGGCACCCCCTGAAGGTGGATGGGCTTGTGGTACTGTGTGTTGCCTTGAGGCGTGGTTGTGGAATATGTTTTGTGGTGGTGTCTCTGTTGCACTCTCTCTCTGTGGTATTCTGAGCCTGGCTTGTGTAATTGTGGTGGATGATGATGACATTGACCACATTCTTGAGAATTCACATGTCTGGGGCCCTGTGCTAAGCACATTCCCATGCATAAGCCCCTTAAGCCTCAGAAGAATCCATTTTGCAGATGAGGAAACAAAGGCACAGAGTTTAACCAACTGGCTTGAAGTAACAGAGTTAGTAAGTGGAGGAGCCAGCATTTAAACCCCTGTCTAACTGACATCCAAGTCCACATGCAACATATTAATGCCATTTACTGAGTGCTTACTAGATACCAGCAGCCCTAGGAAGTGGGTGTTATTACAGGTGAGGAAGCTGAGGCCCAGAAGGGTTAAGTCACATGCCCAGGAAGTGGTATAGATGATATATAAACCTGAGTCAAAGTTGCTGACCCATGAAAAAAAAGTAAATAAAAGTAACCAACATTTATTTGAAGCCTACTGTATGCCAGCACTGTTCCAAGAACTTTGTGTATATTTTCTTCTTGGGAAAATCACCCAAATATAGGAGGTAGACCCTATTATGAGCCCTATTTCACAGGAGAGAAAAACTGAGGAACAGAGTGCTAGACAGGCTGGCCAGTTAGCTCAGTTAGTTAGAGTGTGGTACTGATAACACAAAGGGCCAGGGTTCAATCCCCATACCAGCCAGGTGTAAAAAAAAAAAAAAAAAAAAAAAAAAAAAAAAAAAAAAAAAAAAAAAAAAAAAAAAAAAAAAAAAAAAAAAAAAAAAAAAAAAAAAAAAAAAAAAAAAAAAAAAAAAAAAAAAAAAAAAAAAAAAAAAAAAAAAATGCTAGATAGCTCTCTTTCCTGATCTCCAAATCTTGCTGGTTTGGGCAAAATGAGTAATAAAAGTGAAATTGATGTAATTAAGTGATGTGATGTAAGTGAAATAATAATAACTGCCTGTTTTAGTTTCTCACTGTTGCTATAACAAATTGCTGCAAACTTAGTGACTTAAAACAACACAAATTTATTCTCTTACAGTTCTGGGGGTTCTATGTCTAAAATGAGATGGCAGGGCTGGGCTTCTTCAGGATGCTCTAGGGGAGGATTCATTTTCTTGCTTCCTCTAGCTTCTAGAGGCCACCTGCATTACTTGGCTCATGACCCCTTCTTCCATCTTCAAAGCCAGAAAAATGGCCCCTTCCAATCTCCCTCTCTCCCTTCTCCCCTCCTCCTTCCATCATCACATAACCTTTTCTTACTTATATCCTCCTGCCTCCCTCTTATAAGTTTCCTTGTGATAACATTAGCCAGATAATCCAGAGTGATCTTCCCATCTCAAAATCCTTAACTAGTCCCTTTTTACCATGTAAAATGACATATTCACAGCTTCTAGGGATAAGAACATGGACATCTTTGGGGCCATTATTCAGACTACCACCGTACCATGGTTTATAACAGCCTCAAAATGGGTCAAGCCCTTTCCTAAGCACTTCCCAGCCACCCACACACTGACTCCTATAACAGCCCCATAAAGAGAGGACTGTCATCAAGCCCATTTTACAGATGAGAAAACTGAGGCTCAAGGAAGGGTAGTCAATTGGCCTGGGTCACACAAAGACTAAGTACTCAAGCCAGGATTCAAACTATATCCATCTAACTCTAGATCTGGTTTGGGGGGCTATGCTGTTGTGTCTTGGCTGCTGTTAAAATGTATAATTTTGGTGTTGTTTTCTATGGTCCGTTCAACTGTTGGATCATTGGAGGTTGGGTGTTGCGTGGCTGTGGGTGACCTAGGCGAGGCTGTAGTGTTTTCAGGCACTCCATGTGATATTGCATTGTCTTGCCTGCTGTGCTGCCAATGTTGTTGTGTTGCTGTGTATTGGTGTCATCTGTTCTGCTACCTCAATTATATGTGTTTTGATGTCCTGTAGTGTGTTCTGTGCTGTGTGCTGGGTTGCTGTGTATTATTGTTGTGTGCTGTGTTCTGGGACAATGTAGCCGTATGCTGGTATGATGTGTCAGTGTATTGTTATCATGTCTTGGGATGTTTCTGGGCTGTATTAGTCTGTTTCTGTTGCTCATAACAAAATACTTAAAACTGGGTGATTTATAAAGAAAACGAAATTTATTGCTTACAGTTTCTGAGGCTGAGAATTCCAAAGTCCAGTGAACACATCTGGTCAAGGCCTTGGTGGTGGCAACAGTGACAGCAGGGTATCACACTGCAAAAATGGTGGAGCAGAGAGAGCAGAGCAGAGAGCATAACCTCCTCATCCACTCTCTTTTTAAAGCCCTCAGAACCACACCCTTGACCACCATTACTAATCTATTCACTACGGCATGGTCACCTTTTCAAGGCCCCACCTTTCAGTTACTATAGTAGGATTTCCCACCCTCTTAATAGTCACATTGGGGGCCAAGTTTCTAATACATAAAACTTGGGGGACACAATTCAAGCTTCAGTGAGTTTGGGGGGAACATAATTCAATCCACTACATGGGCTGACTGTTAAGTCACTGTGTGTGGTTGTGTGTGTTGGCATGTATTACTGGGTATTTTGTTGCCATATGTTGTTATGTATTCTTCTATGCCTGATGATTACCATGTGCTGTGTGGTGTGATGTATGTTGTATGACCAAGAATAGCCTGTTCTGGGGCCGGCCCGTGGCTCACTCGGGAGAGTGCGGTGCTGATAACACCAAGCCCACGGGTTCGGTTCCCATATAGCGAACACCGGATAGCCCAATGGCTCCGCGAGGAG